ATAAAATCCATATGACATTACATATTCATCTAGATATTAGATTATGTTATTTTCCTTGGCCATTCTTTTTAGTAAAAGCTGTCATTGAAGTCTTCTCTGCCTTTCTCTTTTTTAATGAGTTGGAATAAGAAGTGCTCGATTTTATATTGTGTTTTTTTTTTGAATGCCAGGATGCTGTTAATCTTTAGGATACAAATAGGATTTATTTTTAAAAGACTAAAAACACCTACCTGTGTTTATTTACTAAGTATTTATCATTATTCATTTTATGTTCCTCTTGTAAGATAGTATTCATTTAGTTTCTGTTTTAATAAAAAATGTGCAAATCTAGTGCCTAGTAATTATAGAACTCTCAGAAACTGTACATATGCAAAAACTTTTTTAAAAACCTAGAAGACAGTTACAGCACACCAGATAATATACTGTTAAGATTTTGCTGTATATTTTTCAAGTCATATGTACAAGTTTATGTGTGTGCATTTGTGAATACACATACATTTACACAGATGTATTTAACATAGATATGTATTTTTCATAAGTGGGTATAATATTTTACAACCTGCATATTTAAGTTAACGTATTGTGAATATCTTCCACAAAATGTTTTAAAATAATACAATTCTTAATGACTACATTATTTTTCATTAAATTGATGTGCCATAATTTTGCAAATTGCTGATTACTGAATATTGAGAATGGTTAAATTTTTCTCCATTTTAAATAGTGTAATGAATTAGGAATCTTTTAAAGCTGTATCTTTTATATATACCTGATTGGTTATCTAGTATACATTTGTAGACATGGAATTGCCAGATCAGAAGGTATAAATCTCTCTTTATTTTAACTTCTGGGACACATGTGCCAGACATGCAAGTTTGTTACACAGGTATACACGTGCCATAGTGGTTTGTTGCACCTATCGACCCATCATCTGCATTAGGTATTTCCCCTAATGCTACCCTTTCCCTTCCCGCCCCCCACCCCCTGACAGGCCCTGGTATGTGATGTTCCCTTCCCTGTGCCAATATGTTCTCATTTTTCAGCTCTCACTTATGAGTGAGAACATGAGGTGTTTGGTTTCTTGTTCCTGTGTTAGTTTGCTGAGAATGATGGTTTCCAGCTTCATCTAAGTCCCTGAAAAGGACATGAACTCATCCTTTTTTATGGCAGCATAGTATTTGATGGTGTATATGTGCCACATATTCTTTAGCCATCCTATCATTGATGGATATTTGCATTGGTTTCATGTCTTTGCCATTGTGAATAGTGGTGTTGCAATAAAGATATGTGTGCATGTGTCTTTATAGTAGAATGATTTATAATTCTTTGGGTATATACTTAGTAATGGGATTGCTGGGTCAAATGATGTTTCTGGTTCTATATCCTTGAGTAATTGCCACACTGTCTTCCTCAGTGGTTGAACTAATTTACACTTCCACCGACAGTGTGAAAGTGTTCCTGTTTCTCCACATCCTCTCCAGCATCTGTTGTTTCCTGACTTTTTAATGATGGCCATTCTAACTGACATGAGATGGTATCTCATCGTGGTTTTGATTTACATTTATTAATGACCAGTGATGATGACTTTTTTTTCATATGTTTGTTGGCTACAGAAATGTCTTCTTTTGAGAAGTGTCTGTTCATATCCTTTGCCCACTTTTTGATGTGGTTATGTTTTTCTTGTAAATTTGTTTAAGTTCCTTGTAGATTCTGGATATTAGCCCTTTGTCAGATGGATAGATTGCAGAAATTTTCTCCCATTCTGTGGTTTGCTTGTTCACTCTGATGATAGTTTCTTTTTCTGTGCAGAAGCTCTTTAGTTTAGTTAGATCCCAGTTGTCTGTTTTGGCTTTTGTTGCCATTGCTTTTGGTGTTTTAGTCATGAATATCTCTTAAAGGTTTTTGATGTCAAATTGCTCTCTGCTCAGGTTGCACTTAAAACAAACAAAAAACATATATAGTTTTCTCTGTCTTGAACGATATATTTGAGAACTCTATTGCTCAAGAGACTGTAAGGAATATTTGTAAGGCCATGATAAAGAAGTTGTATTAATTAAAAGCTAATACATTGTGTGCGAGTGAACATAGATGTTTCATTAAGCCTTGAGATAACTAAACTCTTGTTAGAAATTTTAGGAATTAGTTATCTGGTAACAGAACAATTGTAAATAAGCTTAAATTATAACATAAAGGTTGGGGAAAGTGCATATTGTGTTATTTCCCAAGCGTAAGAATTGGGCGATAGTTTTTCTGGGAGACTACAGAAGTAATTTTTAGATGTTGATAAGAATAGCACAGTATTTTCTGTGTTTGGGATGATGGAAGGGAACCCTGTGTCAGACAGGCAGCTCCCTCCATAGTGCTTACTGGGTAAATTGACATTATATCAAGTCAGTAGGCAGAAGGTTTTAGATGGCTTTTTTGTGCTAGTGCTTGCTTCTTCCTTTCTGGAACTGTGAAATAAATGCATTATTATTCCAGAGCACTCAGAGATGTGGCAGTAATAAGGCATCATTCAAAGAGGGCCATTTAGCAGAAACATCCTATAGAGATGAATTATCAACACTATTTTTCTTTATTATTTAACTTGCTTGAAATGCTGAAATAGTGTAGACATGCTTTTGTGACTTTTGTCTTCCTAATGATTAAATGGATAATGCCTACAAATGAATATACTTTGCCCATTCTGTTTCCTTGATAAGAAAAATAATTATTGTAGCTTAAGAGTGCAACTGACTGAAAATTCCTAAATGGTCTTTATAGTAAATATTGTGCTATATAATTAAAATGTGACACAAAGCATATTTTTACTCCAAAGTTTATTATATAACAGGAGAAAATGACTATTAAAAAGCCAGTAAATCATTTAGACACTACTCCTTTAAAATTGACATTCAGAAGCCATGATTGATGCAGACCTCTAAATATAATTTAAATGCACTATTGCTGTAATATTCCAATGTGGGGGAAAAACCTGTTATAGTAGTGGAGAAATATGCTACAGGTTTGTGAAGATGCTGAGGCCCAATAACAAACACTAAGCAACTTATCCTAGATCTCAAGGCTGGTCCTCATTAAAAGCAATAATTGGCCTGCTATGCAGTGGTGAATGTGAAAGACGTCTTGCTAAATCAACCATTGACTTCAGAATGTGAATATAATAAAGAATAGAAACATCCTGCTTCTATAAATTGGGTTGAGATCCAGGATATCCTGTTTAAAAATAAAGACACAATTTCTCCAAAATACACACAGACAATTATTCTATTTATGTGCCATCTGTGAGACTCAGAAAGAAAAAAAAAAAAGAATCCTAGCTTACAAGAGAAGATGGGAACTAGGAAAATGAAGTGAACAATCATATCAGCCACTATCACTATGATCTGTTTATTCAGTAATTTGATTTTACTAAAGTGTTACAGAAATCTTCCCAAAAGCTCTGAACCAGAAATCTTCCCAAAGCTCTCTACCACGCAGTGGAATTGGTCACATTTGAAATTTGGCTTCTCAAACAGTTGACGCCATCCTCTCTGCCATGATTTGCATCTGTTGTTGAGGGTTAATTGAACTAGTTAGACTAGTAGTAATTGAATGTTTAATGTTTCATGTGTACAGATTTTGGGGAGGGAATGCAGAAGATTGATTCAGGAAGAGAGGGTCAACTGTAACTCTTGTGACACTGGGTTCTGTAACACTACATCTGATATATTTTGGTTAAAATTATGCCCTAGCAAAGAAAAAAGGTGTTTTACAACAAAACTTGTGTTCTGTCTTTGGTGTAATAAATAGGTATATTTGCATTTTTGTGGTATGTGTCTTTGTTAAAATCCATAATGACATGAGAACAATTGGTTGTTTTACTGGAGAGTTTTCTGGGACTAAAAGCAGCAGCCTGATGTTGAAGTATCATTTTTGTAGTTTGTCACTATTTGACCTTTGCCTGCAATGGAAAGTCTGTATGTGAGCTAAGAGAGTGGGAATCTTTATGTCCTCTGCCTCCGCATGATAGATAACCAATGAACACTTGTTAAGTCAAAGGGAATGGAGTAGATTGGTGATTTTAAACTGGTTTTCTTGTATACTCTACAAGAGTATAGGGACTATTACACAATTAGGGCTAATAGCAGTGGTGATTAGCTGACAGCTTAGTGGGTGAGACTCCAAGTGGGGAAATCTACTATGTCCTGATCCTCAGCTCTAGGCATTTTTAACTTTAACCCTCATACCGACACTACAAAGTATCCTCATTCCATGGACTGAGGTTCAAAGTTAGTATGTTACAAATTATAACATGACTTGTATATGTGATGATCTTGCAATATGAAATTAGAAATTATTCTGTTGTCTGCACTCTAAGCACATGTCCCTGCAATAATATTCTGGATAGTGAAAAAGAAAGGTACCCTCTATGTAAACCAGGCCAATAAGGTATCATTTTTGTGTCTATATATATTTTCTATATTAAAATACTTGTGTCCAATAAGACCAGAGATTTAGAGTGGGATCTGGATTTGAGCCTGGCTTTGAGTATTACCAGTTGTGCCTCAATTTCCTAAGTTGTAAAATAGGATAATAACAGGTTATTGTGGAGACGAAATAAATTAATAATGTATACTTTGAACATTGTTCTCTAGTAAGAATTCAATTCATCTACTTATTTGATTGATATATTTCTATGGCTATGTTTTGGAAAACAGTCTTTTTGAGTTAAATTTAATGTTCAGAATGGATTGACGTATTTTTATTGTTATATGTTCCCTTTAGTTATGTATCTCTTTAGCTTTATTATTTGTAATGTCATTGCAGGTTCCTATATGATAGTGGACTCTTCAGATCATGACCCTGGAGAAAAAGCCAGACTTCAGCTGCCTACAATGAAGGAAAACGACACTCACTGCATTGATTTCAGTTATCTATTATATAGCCAGAAAGGGCTGAATCCTGGCACTTTGAACATATTAGTTAGGGTGAATAAAGGACCTCTTGCCAACCCAATTTGGAATGTGACTGGATTCACCGGTAGAGATTGGCTTCGGGCTGAGCTAGCAGTGAGCACCTTTTGGCCCAATGAATATCAGGTAATCATATGTACTTTTCTGGTGTATGTTTTGTTGTCATTAGGTCTCATTATATAAGTAATACATCAATATAAATATGCATTTCATGGTAATGAGAGATTGTCCCTCTTGCCTCTCCCACCCCCATTATTGGGGAAGTGTCGCACATTGATATGAATATGCATCCCATGGTAATGAGAGATTAGCCCTCTTTCTTTCTCACCCCTGTTGATCTTATGTTTCTGTGACTGAGTTTATATGCTCTAACAAAAAAAGGCCCATTTACTAGTTTGGAGAGTTTGTTCAGGAACTCTCACTATGAGGTTCAGTCCCTGGAAACTGTTATCTCTTTAAAAGGTCAATTTTGTGTTAGACCTTGAAATTTAAACTTTCAAAGAACTTGTGTCTTTGTAGCTTATTTTAAAGCCTAATGAGAATGCATTTATGTAGAAGTATATTTATGTAAAAGTATATTTTATGATGGTCAGCGAGCAGTATATAAACTAATAGTTTTATTTCTGCTCTCTAAAAATAAATTATTTCTTTAAGTTAGGTTGGTCTTTATTCTTGAAGAAAAAAGAAATGCTTAGCTTTAGTTGCTTTGTCTTGAGTTGATTTTTCTATTTTATTAAAAGCCTCCTACATTGTAGCCATGGTTCCTTGAGTAAGATTTTACTTTCAAGGTTATGTGTCTATTGAGTTTTCAATGGATTTTCATTAGGTACTAGTTAATTCCATTATTCTGGAGCATAAAGATGTTTCTTTCAGTCTGGGAGAGCCACCTGCTTTTTCAGGGCCCACAGCCTCAGGAGGGCTGCATGTATGACATGATATGGTAAGTAGGTGGACAGGAGTACATAAAACTAATGCTAGAGCACATGTGGCAAGATCAGTGGGTTGACAAAAGTGGGTTGATGGCTGTCATCTCCTGGTCACTCTCACAATGCATTATATTTATACTGATTTCATAAGAATCGGTCATAGGAGCTTTAACATAGCACTGGAAAGAAGCTCTGATTCAGCAGAATAAAATTATCTATGGAGTCAGCCTCCAGAAAACAAGTTAAAGCCCCAAATAAAAATTAATCGTCTAGCAAACTCATTAAAAAAGTGGGTTTTGAAGTCAGATTGCCTGTATTCAACCCTGTTCACAACTTGTTTCCTGTGTACATAGTTCTTTAAGGAATCAGACTGTTAGTTGTACCTTAAGACAATAACAATAACAACACAGAAGTAAAGATAAATGCAGGAAATAATCTATGATATACTTCTTTTTCCTTGTAACTAAGAAATAACGTACATACAGTTTTTTTTCTAAGTTGTCAAAGATCTATCTTTGAATCATTGATGTGAATAATATTTTCTTATGGCACAGATTAGTGTGGTGTTAATTCTACTGTTAAGTTACAGTACTTTGAACTGGATGAATAGTTCTTTGTTCAGTCTCATTTTGCATGGCAAAACCCCCTTCATTATATGTGCTTGCGGTGTATTTAGGCAAGAAGTGCAGAAAGTGCCTGGTTGAGTTTTAGCCTGGCCAGTGAGATCATTTTGGAGATGTTTTGTCAGAGAAAAAGATGACTAAAATAAATACATGGAACCTGTGGGTAAATGTCTCGTTGTAGATTAAAATTTGAGCCGTCGCTAATTTGGTAAGTGATTATTTTGCTCTCACATCTTTTTCCTTAACCTGCAAAACTTAATGAGAGCAAACAACAGAGTACTTTTTATTCATGTGCTTAGTGCTCAGTAAATTACTTGATGTTTTTATCAATTCAATCATTTAGATTATTAGTTGTACCTGTATATTACTTGTTAGAAACAACCAGCATAACATAAACTATATTTATGTACTTTTATTTCTCTTGGAAAGTAACATGAAAAATATCAAATCTCCCATACATTTTGATAGCTTTCAAAATCAAATACCTGTCAAGTGTTTGGTAGGTGCTGGTTTGCAGGCAAAACATGGTAGAATTTTCTGGTAGGTGTTTTAGGTGCTGATGTCTGTACATTTAAGGAGAAACTCAACTGCTTTAGATCAGATATCAGAGGCCAGTTTTGAGATTCCACAAGGAAATTTGGAGGCCTGATTTCTATTCTTGTGTAAGAAAAGAGCCACTTCATATGTATACAGAGGCATGTGTCAGACTTGCTTTACATAGGGACACACCCGTAGAAATTTCTTTTCTCTCTTATTAAGCCTTGTCAAATAATTGAATAAAGTTTCAGAAATCTTTCATATAATTAAATTTAAGTAAAAATGTATTAAAGAAAATAATGTTATCCTTAGTGAAGAAACAATGCCATCTGACTGCTTTGACCATAAAACAATTTAGTCATGACCCCTGTGAAACATCTAACTTTGTGTTAAACATCTTCTTAGACTTGCCAAAATGAATTAGCTTCAGATCATAGACTAACTTAACCAGGAGTTGACCCATAGGATTTCATTTTTTAGTTACTCTTCTTCAAGGTTTGTCCAACTCATGAATGGATGAGAATACTGGCTACATTGAATAGCAGATTGTGTTTTTCATTCCAGCCACCTTTTAGCAAGTCAAGGGCATCATTTGCCTTGACTACATTTTACAAGAGGATTATGTTCAGTTGTAAATTATTCTTTGCTTTATCAATTCTAGAACTTGCCTCAAGAATTTTCTGAAAAGGCACATTTATTGTTAAGCTTGGGGGAAAATTATGACAAAATGCAAACGCTGAAGTACTGCTCACTTAGAAATTGTACCAGCTAGGCCAGGTGCGGTGGCTCACACCTATAATCTCAGCACTTTGGGAAGCTGGGGTGGGTGGATCACTTGAGGTCAGTAGTTCGAGACCAGCTGGCCAACATGGTGAGACCCTGTCTCTAGTATAGATACAAAAATTATCAGGCCCTGGTGGCTTGTGCCTGTAATCCCAGGTACTCAGGAGGCTGAGGCAGGAGAATCGCTTGAACCCGAGAGACTGAGACTACAGTGAGTCGAGATCGTGCCACTGCCCTCCAGCCTGGGTGACAGAGCAAGACTCTGTCTCAAAGAAAAGAAACTCTACCAGCTAAACTTCAGGATATTGAATATGTGATATATTAAGTAATGAATGTTAAAAATACCTAGTTAAAAAAAGAATAGCTTACAAAAGTCAGCATTATTATTGCTGTATGTTCACTGTTTTCCTAAGCTATAGTCATTTTATTTTGATCTTAACCTTGTTTGCCTGGTGCTGTGGAAAAAAAAATTATAAATAAGTGCTATATTTTAGTAGAGAAGCACAGATAAACCCTTTTGGAAGTTTAGAGGATAGAGAGATTATTTTTCTGTCCAGGAGAATCAAGGGAGAAGCAAAAATTTGATGGAGGTTTGATATTTGAATCTTCTCTTGAAGATAGCTGAGGAAGGATCAATGTACACAGGGTGAAGAATTTGTAGGGAAAATCACCAAGGCAAAGTAATTTGAAATTTTAGTAGGCGTTGAGAGCCATTGACAAGTTTAGTTTAGTTTTTTTTTTTTTTTTTCCTTTTTGCCACTGTAGTGATATAATTTTGGTCTACTTAACAAATTTGCTAGTCATTGTCCATTTGTGTTTTTTATTTAGTTTCTTCTTTTGAAATTTTTGGATCATTCCCTAACATCTTGGTATTAGTTAACATAGTGTGGTTCTTAAAGAATGTCCCCATTTTCTTTTATTTTGAAAGCATGGCATTCTTTTCAGGTTTTTCGTTTATTGTAACATCTACTATCAGACACATATTGTGAGGTCACATCATGCCAACCACTGGGGATGTACAGGCAAAGTCCCTCCTCTCATGAAACTCACAGTCTAGCTTTGCACTGTAAGAGATAAAAATGTAAATCAGATGTTTGCTCTGCTCTTAAGGAGCCTAACCCAGATGGGAAATGTGAGATATACATAGATATAACTTGAAATACCATAGCGATTGTTAAATGACATAAGAGAGGTAAATATAAAAGGTAGTGGGGAAAGCAAAAACTGAAGATAGTTTCCAAAGTAATTTTAAGCAGAAATGAGACTAGAATTCTTTTCTGTTGCTTCCTCTATTCCTAGATGCTTTCCACTGTACTATGTATTTTTTCTTAAATCACAGTTACTTAGAGCTAATACTTTCTATGGTCGAACGGAACAAGCAAGTGTAAATTTTGCTTTTTGACATAATCATTGCAGTGATCCACTAACATATAAGGAACAAGCTGTTTTTCACCACTGTCTTTAGAACAATAGATGTCTTCTCAGCTTAGTATGCTAATTATAGAAATTATCATATTTCATTTGTTTTATTTGCTATGGTTGAAAGATGCTATTCTACCTATTTTATAGGCTGCAGATAAGTGCTGTAGATTCTTAAACTGATTGCTAAATAGAAGTAAACAGGGAAAAATCCCAAATCCTGAGGTATCATCTCCATGTTAAATTTCAACTGAAGATCAGCATACCTCTAAAAGCGTAATTTTCTCCACTCTGGAAATCTGACCTGTCTTGTATTCATAAAACTAAGTTCTGCTTTGGGATTAAATCCATTACTTTCTTACTGAACAGTGAGGTTGTTACTAAATGAGGCAGGCAGATATATGTAACTTGGAAAACTATTAGTGGAAACCTAATTTGCTGTTTTCCATTAACTGGGTGCACATCATTAATCACAAAAATGATGCGTGATGAAAACTACAGGGGTTTGGCCAGAAATTGGAATGTGATAATATAGCACAAAGTGCCTTTTTCTCCCCCAATACATGGAGAAACAAACACAACTTTTGCAATGCATTTTCTTCTTAACATTTTCCATTGATTTGAAAAAAATGTTAAGAATTGACAGGCCTGAGATTCTCTGTTTTTGTCTCCTTTTAAAGGCTATATTAATGTGTATTATACTGATATTTTGGCAATAGAAAGATTAGAAAGATTGTTGGACTTCAGAGATTCCACAGGCTTTGAATCTGAAAAGATGAGAGCTTAAACCAAGTGACCGTTTACTTGAATAAAAAGCATCTAAAAGGTTGATCTTCAGGCACAGTGGCCTGTGTAAGAAGAACATACTCATGAACCATCCATGCAAAGAGTAAAAAGAAGGGATGTCCCTCCTCTGTCATAGCTCTCAGAACTCTCCCAATTTTTTGCTGATCTGCATTCATCCATATTGAGTCCCACTTTAGAAAGGCAAGCAGCAGGATCTTTTTTTCTCTAGATATATCGCATAGAGGTAACTTCATGTATAAGTATTGTAAGTGACTCTGGCTCGTGCTCTTGTATAGCAGTGCAGATACTGTTTGTTGTCTATTTATTAGTTATTCTCATCACTTTCTTCCATAGTGGCAAGAGTTCCAACCACCTTACTTGCTTTCCTAACTTTTTTGCAGGTAAGGATGGCCATATGTGACACAGTTCTGGTCAATTAGGAAGGAAAGTCTGCCAGGAAACTTCTGGGAAAGATGTTCCTCCCTAGTGATAACTAGAGTGTCGTATGAGAACATGGCTCTTGGTGCCATTGTGATCATTTTGTAACTGTGAGGAAGGAAATAGCTGACAAACTGAGGGTGACAGAAGAAGGCATTCAAGTAGCCTAGGTCCTATGCTTGTACATAGTAATAATAATAATAATAAAACTATTATTTAAATAAGCTGTAGAAGAATATTCTGCTCTGTGACCAAATACATTTTTATATATCTTATTGTGTCTTTCTTAAGCTTTCAAATAATCCTACCTATCAGCACATACTGTTTGTGGATAGCACATGTAAAACATATATCAGAATTAAAAAAAAATATATATATATATATCCACCAATGATTGAAGCAGTTTTTATTTTTCAATCTAGTTGGAGAGAGGAGACACACTTATATACTTGAAAATGTAAACAGGGCTGTAAGACAGCAGATCACTGACTAAAGGCACTAGAAAGGAAGGAAGGAAAGATGATCTGTTGGGTATCTACTGTATTTGGGATTCTAGGCTGGATACAAACATCTTACTAGAAGATGTTTGTCATCTTTTATTTGTATTAATATTTGAACGTGTGCTAAGTAAATGTTTCTTACCTTCATGCATGGTTGAAGTCATGCTTATTTAGTGGTGGATCAAAATGATTTCCCATTTTTCGTCCTTAGTAAAATAGTATGATTTTTATGAGTTTGATCTTTAGCAATATCAGTTAACTTCTGAAGTTAGCCGCAAGTTTGATAGACTTATTTTAGTTATGGGAGGAGGATTTACCTAACATGGTCATTGGTTTATTTTTATACTTGCAGAATAACTTTTATTTGATAGGCTATTAACAAAGCATCCTTTGCTGCTGCTTTTTAATCTTCGCAGTTTTTTCGTTGCAAATGGAGTACCCCAAATGGGTTGGAATGGCTCTCATATTATTATAGTCATTGTTTTCTTAAAACTTAGAACACTGTGAGGGTGACTTCTCTCTGGTTTCTGATGGTGATTTCCTTTTATTACAAAATGTCTGCTCTACTTTGACTTTAAGGAGTTGTGGCTGATTCATTGATGAAACTTATGGTTGTGTAAATAAATTTTAACAGATGAAAAAAAGAATCCTGTTAAGTTAACAAAATAATTACTGTAAATATGTGACAAGCCTCTTGTTATTCTCCCCAGTCATACGTGCTGTTATGTAGGGTGGTGGGAGCTGCCACAGGACCCTTCCTTTTTTCTTTTGAGAAATATTTCCATAAATTAATTCAATCCTCTTTTTGTAACTGATTGCAAAATAATGAGCAGAATGGAGAAATAGGCATTGTTCATTCAATATATGACTTTTTCTTAACTTAGGAATTTGTTTTATCCAAGGGGAACAGGGAAGACAGATGCTAAAAAGAGCAGAGGAAGAGGTACCAGTTCTTTGTTTATATACTCAACTTGCACTCACTTCAGTTTGCTGAATCTGAAAAAATACATTTCTGATTTCTTGTTTTGCATACCTCTTTATTAATTATTTAGCATACATTGATCAGATAAATGTGAGAACCATTTCCTTCTAATTAGTTTAATGATGTTTCTGACATTGCTATATACCATTTCATATAATATATGACAAATAGATAACAATTTTAAATTTATTTTTCTTCAGTTATGTTGTCTGCTGACTTGGTAGTTAACTGGAATTGGTCTAGTTTTTAGGGCTTTCCGGTTTTTGATCAAATTGAATTTCTGTGTGAACTCTGTCCATTTTTATTTTGAAGACTTATTTTTCTTCACTTTAATCTGCATATAATATGTGAACAAAACATTGGTGTTACAAGGGAAAAACCAAAAAAATGTGTTTTTTATCTAAAATTTAACTTTTGTGCTGTGGTGATTTCAGTTTCAATTCTTAGAAAATAAATACGTTTTTCATTTGAGATAATGTATGAAGAAGGAAATATACAGCAAATGTCAGAAATCGTAGTCTTTTCAATTTTATTATTCTTTACATTATATTACATAGAATCTAATTATTCTGATGTTACTGGAGTTGGAATATAAAGGAAAACAAACTTTGGATGCTAAATTCTACTTATATCATCTGGTGGACAATTTATAGTTAGTTTTAGCTGTCTTGATCTTCAAAAGGTGTTCTTAAAACTGTCATTATAAAACTAGCTACTACATGTTATTTCTGCATTTAGTTATAAATAATCATTGCACACACCACTGGAATTCTCTTATGAGAATTAGATTCTTAATACTCTTTGAATGATCTGTTAAAAAAAATCATTCTTCTCAGCCCTCTAGAAGCAGTAAATCAATTCTCATTTTATGTTTAAAAACAAGGTCCCTAGTCAAATTTATACTGAGTAATAATGCAATAAAATAATAAAGAAGGAAAAATTTCTAGTACCTAGAGACAAAGTTTGGTTCAAGCTTAAGTATCTTCAGATCCTGGCATTTTACAACAACATCACAAATATAACAATTAGAAAACAGATACTATAGGT